TCTCTCTCTCTCTCAGTTTCTCTATTTTCTCTGTTTTCTACAAGTCGTACGTGTACAGTGTAGCAGCTGAAGCAAACGACCAAAAGACAATGTTGAAAACAAACCAAAAAAACGAACAAAACAAAATAAAAATCAACGACAACCAAGTTTAGGTTTTCGTATAGTGCGTCTAGGGTCGTAGCCAGGGTGTCTGCCTTTCGCGTTGAAAAATCTTTCTTCTCCAAATCCGGGTCGTAACTGTCGTGACCGTGAAGCTGTCATCATGTATGTGTCTCAGATTTTCCAGCCCACTGATCATATGGTAAGTGATGCCGAGCACCTGGTCTTTACCTTAGGGTATGTAAGTCTCAGATTCTAGCCACTATGTTAGAATGTATGCATAAAGGAACACTTGGCCTTTATCTCGGGATATCCGGGACCTAGCACCCAGCTCCCATCTAAGAGCATTTGGGACCTAGCAGCTTACACATTGCTTAGCGTATATGGTACTCTATCTCAGTGGGTGTGATTCCACGTATTAGCACACATTATGGTAGGCCTACCTTGTCTCAGGGTATGGGATACTTCATCCAAGGGTAACTGGTGCCATATCTGGGGGTGTATGGTACCCTTTGAGCTATGTGGTGCCTTTTCTAGGGGTAAATTGTATTTCTACTTATATGGTATCCTTATCCTAGGGTATACCTGTATATTGTATTTTGTCTGAGGGTATGTGGTACTTTTTACGGTATATGGTACCTCATCTTAAAGTATATGGTACTTTACATTAGGATATTTGGTATCTACGATCCTAAACATTATACCACAGACGTTGGTCAATACACACCGAGTTACGTTATCTGTTAGATGTCGGTTTGAGAGCTTTCAAGTCAAAGCAGGTCTCTGTATGATTGTATGAATAGCAGTCTAAAAATCGGCGTACTAGACAAGCAAGGCTCCGTAAAGTATAGATATCAACAGTGATTCTACCGAGTCAATGCCTAGCCCTCACTGTCAAGGGGAGTCGAGGAGAAGGTTCAGCCAATCCAAGCAATCGGCTTTTTAAAAACATAGGGTAAAAGAAACTACATGAGGTTTAAGAGAAACAAGACAAGAGAGAACGAAAATAGAAAAGAAAAAAAAATACGAGCGAAAATAAAAGGGCCCTTTCCATAAACATCGGACGAAACCATCCATTACGAAAACAAACAAACCCAAAAGAACGTAGACAAAATGATAAACACGGCAGATAATTGAGAAGTATTTCCCACAGGAATGGGAGGGAGGGAAGAATAAAGCTCTTATGTCCGCTTTCTCCGAAGCAGAAAAAGGCGAAGTCGAGCATCAGGTGTATGATTGGATTATAATATACATGTCTGTATAAACCGGCACAGATGTAGACTCTATCCAAAAACCATAAGTGTCATTACATCATATCAGAAACCTTTTAAGCAACGTTCAGTTCAGTGGACAAGGAAGCATCTTCATGCATGGTTGCGTCTGTGCGTCTGTCAGTGTCTGTTTATCAGTGTGCTAGTTTGTTCAGGCGTCTTTATCCGAACAAGGACATCCGCGTACAGCAACCACATCAATAATTGTCCTCGGCGGAAATTCTAAACCTGGGGTGTTTAGATTGTAAACAGAACTAGGAAGAAGGGTATTTAAATCTCCCCACGCCCCCCCTCTCTCTCTCTCTCCCTCTCTCTCTCTCCCTCTCTCTCGCTCTCCCTCTCTCCCTCTCTCCCTCTCTCCTTCTCTCTCTCTCACTCTATCTATCTATCTATCTATCTATCTATCTATCTATCTATCTATCTATCTATCTATCTATCTATCTATC